GTTTGGGGTTTGCGGTTTGGGATTTAGGGTTTGGGGTTTAGGGTTTAGGGTTTAGGGTTTAGGATTTAGGGTTGCGGTGTGGGGTTTAGGGTTTAGGGGGTTGAGGGTTTAAGGGTTTGGGGTTTGGGTTTGGGGGTTAGGCAGTGGTTCCTTTAAGGGTGGTGGAAGGGATACAAAACCCATCAATTGAGGCGTACTTGGAGCGGTTTAACGTTTAGGGTTCCTTCAAGGGTTTAGGGTTTCTCCAAGGATCCCTTTAAGAGTTTAAGATTTAGGATCTACTTGGAGCCATCGAAGCCCATCACAGTAAAAGCCCTAAACCCTTTGAAAACTGAAAGGGATCCTTCAAGGGATCTATAAAGGTTTCTATAGGGTTTAGAGTTTAGGGTTTTATAAGGGTTTCTATAGGGTTTCTATCGGGGAACTATAAGGGTTCTATACGGGTGCTTAACAAGCACACTTACTTTTTTGTTGGGATTACAGGAAATTTTGTGTAAAAGTTACTCTGTTTGCAGTCGTGGTTTCTGAGTCCCACGAACCTTTAAGTAAAAACGCATCAATCAATAAGGCGTAAAACTTCGGGTTTAGGGCTAGGGGCTTAGGTTTTGGTTTTAGAGTTTAAGGAACAGCCTAAACCCTAAACCCAGGTTTAAGGAGTAGGTTGACGGCCTCAAAACCCAAAAACCCCAAACCCTAAACGCGTTTTGGGGGTTTAGGGCTGCCCTAGCTGTCTCCCAAAAACTCAACCTTTTTAGGGTCCTTAGTGTGGTTTCTGTATATAATTCCAAGATGATCCAAGGGATCTAACAAGGCTAGGGTTGAGGGTTTAGGGTTCAGGGTTTAGGGTGTCGGTTCAGGAGTTTATAAGGCCTTTGAGGTGGGTTATACAGTCTTTAGGTGAGTTTACCCGAAACCCTAAACCCAAACCCTAAACCCGAAACCACGGCGGCCGAAAACGAAAAGACCGGGCTTTGGGGCAATAAGAATCTATCGGTCCTTGAAATTTATACTGCTACCAGTTACAACCCCAAGCACTAACTCTTAAACCCCATAGCTTGTTTTCTAAATTCGGGTCCCTTTTAGGGTCCCTTTTATAAGGGTGCCGTACTATCTCGGGGACCTAACATTTAAAAGGGGACCCTCATACCCTCATTTACAGAACTACCCCCAAACCGTTTGGGCCAAAACCCCTTGGGCTGGGTGTTGGGATAAGGGTTGGGAGAAGGGTTAGTCCAGGGCCCTAAACGCTAAACCCTCAACCAGGACTCCAAAGCATAAACCCTAAACCCTAAACCATGAACCTTGGGAGCCCAAACCCCAAACCCTAAACCCGAAGCCCCTACGCACCCTGAACCCTAAACCTGAAGCCCCTAAGCCCTAAACCCTAAACCTGAAGCCCCTAAGCTGCGCAGCACCCTAAACCCAAAGCCCCTAAGCACTCGAAAGCCTTCAACCCTTGCCAGGGCACGTTGATCAAGCCGAAGGGGAGGTCAAAATCCACCACGTTGGAGAAGACGCCTGCTACCGGTTTAGTGTTTAGGGTTTAGGGAGAACACGACTACTACCCTTTGAGGTCTTGACAAGTAGAATAGGATTTTGTGTGGCTTTACAGGGTTTGACAGGGCTTCAAAACGCTTTGTTATGGGGCTTACTATTTATGAGGGTTTCATGTGGGGGCTTGGTAACTGGAACACGGTCTTGGGGGTACATTCTCGCATCATCATCCAGGGACTACAAAGATGTACCGTCACTGAGGGTTACGACGTCTATAAAGATATGACTGCGGTGTGGGGCTGGGGGTTCAGACTAGCTTGGCCCCCCGAAGCCTCGGAACATATGCGTAAGTAAGACCTCTTAATCCCAATCAGGGAAACACCCCTAAACCATAAACCCTAGACCCTAAACCCTCAGCCGTAAAAGCTCTCAGAGTGTGTGATCTGGCTCGCAAGCCTCCACTGACGATGTGGCCCACGTTCATGATGTGTGGCTTCTCGGTGTTGCTCAGGACTGCATGTTTTGCGCTTGCAAGGATCAGAAGTGCAAGCAGCGCCAGGCAAGACAGCTGCGATGATGTTGAGAAACTCATCAAGAGGCATGTGAAGTTCAGTGCCTGGGCGAATGTCTTGGTGCTTTTCGACCCAATGGGGGTTTCCGAAAATAGGGGACCCTAATATAGCACCCTAAATAGTAGGATCCCTATTATAAGGACCCCAAAATAAGGTACCCCACTTTTCGGAAACCCCCACGTCTTGGTGCTTTTCGACCCAATCGTTGTGGATGTAGTCGTTGCAAACAAACACCCGCAGCTGACCCTGGAGGAACTTAGCGGCGCCCCAACACTCTTTTGAACAACGGTTTAGGGTTTAGGGTTTAGGGTTTAGGTTTTAGGGTTTAGGGTTTAGGGTTTAGGGTTTAGGGTTTAGGGTTTATCTGTGAACCCTTCATCTTACGCACGGGCTCGTCTCCAAGACGGCCGTCGTCATGGACGTCAGGGCGGTCTTGGCGACGTGGTTGTCCAGGGAAAAAATAACCCTCGCCGGTGGCGGGCGCTGAGTCGAATTCCGCTGCAGCTGGAAGAGGTTTGGGCTTGAGGGTTTACGGTTTAGGGTTTAGGTTTTAGGGTTTAGGATATAGGGTTTAGGGTTTAGGGTTTAGGATTTAATTTTTGGGTTTAGGGTGAGTGTGACTGAATTGGGCCGTCGCCGGAAAAGTTGTGGGATGAGCTCATGCATGTGGCGGTGGGGGAGTGGATGGAAACGGACCAAAAAGACAAAGCTGTGAGGGGCCCGTTAAGCCCTAAACCCTTAACCCTAAGCCCTAAACCCTAAACCCTAAACCATGTATCCGAAGAGAGCGGCGAGATACTACGAGGTGTCGTGATGGGTAACGCGGAGGCCTTAACAATCAGAAGATGGTTTTGGGGTACCTTATAGTATAATTATAATAAAGAACCATAAGGAGTAATATTGGCAACCCCAAACCCTAAACCCTAAACCCTAAACCCAATCTGTGATGTCACCAAGGCTTGAGGGCTTTGGTAACGTGCTGGGGTGGTTTCGGGGTCGAGGGTGCTGGGGTTTTGGGGTTCGAGGTTCAGGCTGTTGGCTTTAACTCCCTAAACCATAAACCCTAAACCCTAAGTCCTAAACCCTAAACCCTAAACCCTAAAACCTAAACCCTAAATCCTAAATCCTAAACCCTAAACCCTAAACCCTAAACCAATAAACCCTAAATCCTAAATCCTAAACCCTAAACCCTAAACCCTAAATCCAATAAGCCCTAAACCCTAAAGTCGGGGTGGGGTTGGGGTTAGGGTCCTGGGCCTCGGGCTTTGGGGACCAGGGCTTTGGGGTTTTAGGGCTTAGGGTTCAGGGTTCAGGGTTCAGGGTTTAGGGTTTAGGGTTTAGGGTTTAGGTTTTAGGGTTTAGGGTTTGGGGTTTAGGTTCAAGATATTAGGCCCGAACTCCTTCACCCTAATGTCCCACCCAAGCAGTTTTCAGCCCAGGATTTTGGGAGTAAATAGTGCTTTCAATAAGCCCGAAAACCGATCACCCTAATTTCCCCACCCCGCGTGCTGGGTCATGGTTTAGAGTTTAGGGTTTAGGGTTTATGGGTTTAGGGTTTAGGGTTTAGGTTTTTACACCCCTAAAGCCTAAACCCGAAACGGCCCAGACCCGAATCCCTAAAACCCAAACAACCGTTCAAAGAGCTATACTCAAGTTTTAAGTGCTTCGGTCAGCTGTTTCTAAACTTTCGAGTTCCGGTACGCAGGGTTTCAAGGTGTATGGGTTTAGGATTAGGGCCTTAGGGGTTTAGGGGTTTAAGGTGTAGGGCTTAGGGGTGTGGGGTTAAACGTACTGTCATACGCGAAGTAATCATAGATATAGATCCTGTCCTTGTCTTCCTAAACCCTAAACCCTAAACCCTAAACCTATAGATCTTGTCCTCGTCTTGACTGCCATGCATCAATGGGTAAGTGCAATATACCGAACATCTCCAAGGCGCCGAGAGTAGTGCGAGCCCTAAACCCTAAACCCTAAACCCTAAACCCTAAACCCATATTGCAACATCAATGGCCTACAGGGGCCTTATGTCCCTACTCATAGCTATCTTATCGTGCAGATCCCCGAATCCCTAGGGGGCCCTGGGT